GTGCTGGGCGCGGGGCGGGCAGCCCGTGGGAGAGAGGCCCCAGCAGCAATCCTGCCTGCTGGTGGTGGCACGGAGGGGACAAGGCGCTCGGCCCCACAGCAGCCCCCGGGGGCTGGCACCCACCCCACACATGCCCACGCCCTGCGGCACCCCCTGGCCCGAGTGCACACGCATGCACACACACATGCACACACATGCACACGCATGCACGCACAGAGCTGCATGCGTGCACGCACATGCATCCACCACACGCACGCTTGCATGCCCGTAGAAGGCTCCGGTGTGCCGCTGTGTCCCCAGGGACCGTGCATCAGGACCCGCCAGCCGTGTCCCCTTGGGGCTCTGGTCCCCAAGGTCACGGCAGACGGAGAGCACGGCGGGGACGGGCTGCAGCCCTGCTCTGTCCGTCACTGATGGATGGCTGTGTGTGCAAGGAGACCTGCCACCGCCGCAGGACAGCAGGACACGGGGACCAGTCCCAGGGTGTCCCCAGCCCTCTCCTTCCCCCAAGAGACCCCCACACTGCCCGTACCCCACACCACCACGTGTTCACCCCCCCGATGCAGCACAAAGAAAGAGGCTGTCCCCGCTACCCTGGGGCAGCCAGCAGTCCCTGCCAGCCCTGCACACCGGGGATGTGACCTGCTCCCCGTCCCCATCCCACTGCCTGGGTACTCACAGCGAGATGACTTCGGGGGGTAGGTTCCTGGGCACGGCCTTGGAGTCCACACAGAAAGCTGTGTCCCGGGTGCAGGAGCAGCTCGGGGGGCAAGGGGGCGGCCGGGGGGGCCGCCGACACCCCGCCGGCAGCCAGAGCCAGGCCAAGGTGAGGAAGAGGAGGAGAACAGAGAGCTGGCCCCTCAGCATCCTCCTCCCGCGCCGCAGCTCCATTGCCCTGGCCTAGCCCTGCTCTCTCCCCCGGAGCTGGTCCCTCTCCTCCTGCTGTGCCCGGGAGCTGCGGCAAAGCCTTTTCCTCTCCTCCTTCCCCGGAGATTTCAGTGTGGAGGGGAAGCGATGGTGGTGGCGGAGGCTGCCGGCGCCCGACCCGCTGCTCTGCAGCGTACCATGCTCCTGTGCTGCGGGAAGGAGGGAGGGAGGGAGGGAGGGAGGGATGCGGCTGAGTGACAGCACAAGCATCCGTGTGGACGCGTGTCCTCACCAGCGTGCGGGCGTGCAAACGCAGGGGTGCACGCTGCGGGGTGGCCACTGGCAGCCGGGTGCTCTCGGGGTGCACCGGGATGGGGGATGGGAGGGTACCCGCAGGGGTTTGCAGGGGTGATGCCACCGCAGCTCTCCTGCCCCGTTGCTTCGCCCAGGTGCCCTTGCTGCAGCGCTGCCCGCGACAGCTCCCTGCCTGGCCTGGCAGCAAGCGCTGCCGGGTGGCGGGAGGCACCGGGCACCCGTCCGTCCCGTCCCAGGCACGGCGCTCCCGGCCAACAATGAGCCCAGCCAGCTCCTTCCCCACGCTGGGGGGGCTGCAGCTGCCGGTGCACAGGGCCGCAGGGACCAGGGGTGCAGCACCCCGGGGGTTGCGTGCTAAGGGTGCCGGGTCCTCAGCCAGAGCCCGGTACTGGGTGTGGAGAGCGGGCACGCTCTGCCCGCCTGCTGTTTGCCTTGGCTTCCCCCACGCTGCCGGCCAAATGCCAGGAAAGGGCCCTCGGAGGCCTCACGCCCCCTCCTCGGCTCCTCTCCGGGCTCAGCAAACAGAGCACAAGTGGCACCTTGGCAGCCGGGGCAGCCCCCGCCTCCTCCCACCCACCCGGGGCCCCTATAAATCCCCCTGGCTCCGGCTGGCAAAGGGACAGGAGCCGCGTGGCGAGGGAGGGCGAGATGGACGGCAGCTCCAAAGAGGCACTGATGGAGGAGGCGCCTCCGGTAAGGAGCACCCATCACCCAGCCCGAGGAGCCGGCGTGGGGCTGAGCGCCAGCCGCCTTCCCCAGCCCCACGCCGGCCGCCCTGGCGGCGGC